AAACAGACAGACGCTTTTTGGTACGCTGGCGAGAGCCATTTCGCGCGGTGCGATGGTCAGTGCGATGTACATTGATTTGCTTCGCGAAAAGCCCCCCACACCCGTGGGAAACGCGTTGGTTCGCGTACGTATACATACAGGAGAGGAGAACCCAGCTTCGACTCTTCGACCGAAACTGTAAGCGTTTAACCTTCAGTCTCGACAAATGCACGTAACCCCCCCTCCTCTTAACCGCATCCATTCGACAACTGTAGTGTAGGAACTCCATCGCTTCTTCCTCCGGCGAAACTCAACGGTGGTCGCGCCAACGAAGCGACGTATGTAAACTATTTACAGCACAGCAGCAGTACATCATGTCCGTGGCTCCATGCATTATCTATTCCGTTCTACAGTATAGACTATACGTTCAAGAAGAGATCGAAGGCGGGCCCAAAAAGAATCGCACCGCCTGTATGTTGACAATATTCTGTGCACACGTGTACTAGTAGAGCACCCTCCCTGCAGCCCGTCATCTCCTCGCGACCGATGTGCGAGCCACGCAACGATCTCGACTTGAAGCGGAGCGCACAGACTCCTAATAGGCGCAAGTAGCAATTCCTGGATGACACCGGGGAACAACAGCGGTGTCTCCGCCGCCTCCAAACAGGCTACATGTTAACAGCTCGCTGATCTTGATGGAGGTTGGCTCTCGACCTTTGTAGACGTGTGCACGTGAACACTCGCGCTTGGCGCACGATGCCGCATTCAACATAAGGGAGGTCCTGCCGCATGCTCAGCCGAAGCGGAACTTTGCGGCGTGGCGAACCAACCTACGGACCGACTTTGACCGACTGCGCGATCTTGTCCGCGCTGGCTGACGTTCTGACGACGCAACTGGGACGAAGACATATAATCTATACAAGTATGAAACACACTGGAGGAGGCTGGAGGCTGGAGGCTGGAGGCTGGAGGCTGGAGGAGTACATGACTATCGCATAGGAAAAAAGAACGGGTAAACGAATCAGAGGATGGTGGTGTGCGTACTGGGTTGGGCATGGATATTCGACCGCGTAGTCTACACTGCTGTAACCTTGTATAGGAGAATTCTCGATCGAGTCTACTCTACATTCGTAGTATCGTTCCTCGCGTAAACCAGGATCGTTTCTGCAATAGATCGAGTCTGCAAGCTGCTCGCGTAAACCAGGATAACCAGGATCGTTGTTCGAGCTAGTTCAACTGCCTCATCACGAATCAAGATCCAGCGGTGGGACCTCACCGCTGTCGCTTCTCCTGTCCAGTTCACTCTTAATCCCAATACCTTTAATTCAGCTCCCTCTCTGCTGTAGACAGCTTGATTTCGAACGGACTTGAGAAGAACCATGGTAATAGTTGTGAGCGGAGCTGTCTGGGCGGGCATCGTGGTGACAAAGTGCGTAATCTCCAAGGTCTTGGTATGGACGGCCCTCGAACGATTCGTACGACCGGACGAGAACAGGTGAGACACCCCCCTCCGATGGAGCACTGCTGTACATCGGTACATGTAGATTCCGTGGTGTCCAATCAATTTTGAAAAATAAGCAGTTCATTGTAAGGTGTAGCCATCCCTACGTTGGGAGCGAGGGTCGATGTAGGACGAGAGAACATCTCACAACAAGCAAGCGCATTCCGCGACCTCTCTACGCTACCCGCCACGATACTGATCCTCTTGCCACTATCAACCCACCCATACGCTGCAAATATCACATGATGTACGGACATACGTGTGTCATTAAATTCCACAGGGAAAACGAGACCAACAGCAGTGACGAAGAAGCACGTGATGACGGCGAAGATGTGCCAGAGCTTGCGCAGGTAGGTAAAGCTGAGCAACCGTTTTTTTTAAGGACCCAGGTCAAAGTTGGTGCCCAACGTGCAGCGGCAAATCCGAATTTATTCGTGACTCGCCGATGATTTAGACTATTTGGTCCCTCAGCTCGTGGTATGTGGTGGTAGTTCGTACCATGTTTGCTCATCGCTAGGGTCGCACCCGGCTGGTTTACGCGCCCCCCGCAGCAGGAAGTCGACGACGACGAGGAAGAGGACCAGCCGCCCGTGGTTGGCGCCACGACAAGGACTCTCGGCACACTGAAGCAAGGTATTGTTGCATATAGACTATATGCGTATGAATAGTATTTCTCTCCTCACCACACGAGTTTCTGTGGTCACTGCCTGCAATCAGTTCGCTTCTTGTTCGTTTAAAAAACAGTATATTTTTCCATGAATATTCTATTTATGTGTAGAGAGGTCATATTTCAGAATTAGACCTGTACACTCCGGGAGAACCCATGGCCAAACGTTCTGGAACATGCTATGCCTAATCGCTACCCATACAAACCGTAGCATGATGCATAAGTCCAACATTGCACGTGTTGTACCAGGTGAGGGCCGGGAGCCGACACGGCGGGAGGGCCGCTTGCAGTCCGAGTCCTCTACCGGGGATAACTCGCTGGACTCCCGGTCGGACGGCAGAGGCGAGGGAGACGACTACGTTCCTGATTCGACGATGATGATGGTCACTGATTACTTGTTTCATTTTTACGTTTGAGATGATGCTGTTTCTCGCGATTGAGACACGAGTTGGGGGCATAGTCTGATGTCGATTGGGTGTTAATCACATGAACAGTCTTTGAAAACAACAATAAATATAGTTTGTATTATATGGGTTGAAACCAGAGCAAACCTCTGAATTGCATTTTGATTTGATACCGTTGGTTCTCAGTGGCGATTTGCGGAGCGGGTTTCTTCGTACTGTAGGTCGTATCACGAACCGAGTAGCGGGGGGGGGGGACTTGTTGTGGGTATGCAGTGAAGTAAGACTGATATTCGGGACCTCCGGGGGCTACGTGGGTGTTTCATGGGAATGGTGAACATGATACGCGAGGCTCTTTTCGCGTCACCCATGTTTGTCACTCGTCAAACAGTTTAACGAGTGAGAGACATGGGCGAGGCAAGAAGACCTCCGCGCACCATGTTCACCATATCCATGAAGGTCCAGGCACAACCAACGGAAGCCCCCGCAAATCAGTGTTACTCTGCTGAGTGCCCCTAAACAGGGTTGATTAGTTAGGTAGTGCCAGGTTGTGGTAAGGCAGCGTTCTAAATAGTGCTGAAGGGGCAAGCGAAAGTAGTAGAGTACGTGAGTTGCAGCGGTTCCGAGTGAGGAGCGGAGTGTCAGTGGAAAAGGGCAGGTTTGTGGAAGGCGTACACAAACCAAACTGGCCGTTGTTCATGAAAGCACCTTCGAGTTACTACGCATGATATTTTTTTGGCACGGTAAGAGGTTCACGGAGTACGGCTCCCCGAGCGAGAGGCCGAGAGAAGGAGATAATGAGTCCAAGTAGAGTCGTCCGGGCGCTAAATAGAGGTCTCACATCTGAGAGAAGGGGCGTGGTTGACACATAGAAGGCTTCCAGTAGTTGGTTGCGAGTTAGGAGCTGCAAATACGAATAAGTGTTTTTCCCACCCCTGCACCTTTTGCATTTCGATAAGTGGTTGCAGTACAGTCGACCCCGCTTTAAGGATGCTCGCGTTAAGGAAACTTCCCGCTTGAAGGAAACTTGTTTTGCTGAGAATCGGGGGCCCGACAGAATATACGATAATGGGGTACCCCATTTTTTCTGCCGGGTACCCCCTTTTTTGTGTCCTGCGGGCCTGCGGGCCGCTCTTTGCACGGATCACCACAGTGAGTGCAGAAGTAGCAACGCACAGACAGCAGAAGTAGCGAGCGGTCTGCTGCTGCAGCTGCAACTGGGTGTTGGTATTATGGATGGATTCCTCCCATCTACCGGCGGTCCATCTGATGCCGCAAAAAAAAGAGTCGTGCATAACCTCGTCCCTCACCGAGGACAAGGTTACCTCTCGCTTGGAGGACGTTCGATACTACTGCAGATAGCGCCAGCAGTTAAGAAACGTCAAAATCGGTTCGAGCCTCATCAATCCCTTCTTTTGGGTCGAAGTACCGACCCAAGTCGTCCATTTCGTAAACGGCATTTCTTCTTCCTTTGGACTGTCGCATCTTCCGGATTCTCTTATTCCTTAGGCTACAACAAGTACTTCGTATTTTCTTTTTTCTGTCTTTTGATCTCTGAGGACAATCCACATCATCAAGCCCTCAAGAGAGGTGGTGAAGAGTGCCATCAAACCCGTACAGCAGCGGAGAGCATATGGTTGCTCGCGATGTGTGGCAGTACTACAGTACAGCACTCACTGTGAACAGCAGGGGCGCGGGGGGGCGGGGGGGGTGGGGACTCTGCCCCCTACAAAAAAATGCACTTCTGTTCAGCTTGGGAGGCTGTGGGAGGGGGTTGGGAGCACCGCAGATTTCTGATGTCATTGGGGGTATCGCACCACCACGTTTCTTATTGGGGCGTTTCATACGTTGTGGCCGAGACTGAGCTACGTTGCTTAGCCCTTTTTTCTTTTTTTTCGTACAATGTTGAGCCTTTTTTCTCACATAATTTTTCCTATCTGCGGGCGCTATCTGTATTTGTACGCTAAGGGAAGGGGTGGCGATTACCGTGACACGCAGTACCTTCTTTCGAAGACCATTCATCCGTTTGCTCGTGAAACTCAACAGAGCCGTGGAGCCAAGCCGCGGGGGGAGGTTCAGGGAACTCTTCGCGATATGTGGAAGGAAATGCCATCAGGTAGCTTTTGGTCTCCGCCGGGACAGTAATATGTACTGGTGTTCCTAGGTGCGACGCTGAAATACGCTCGTTTCCTTTTTGAATCACAAGAATGAGATAAATGTATGTCTACTTGGACTTTCCTCCTTCTTCCGCTGCCGGCTATGCAGTACAATAGTTGGCCAAGTACAAGTTGTTTTCAACACGTCCCTGACTGTTGTGCATATCATTTCAAGTATTGTAAAAATGTTCGACGTCAACAAATGGTTGCCAGTCGTCTCGGCGATGCTGACTTTTCGTACCACCCCCTTCCTTAGCAAAAGATGCGTAGTTTGAGGTATGGCATGCCTCCATGGAAAAACCATGTGCGTCCTTAAAGCGGAATCGACTGTAATGTCAAGCCGACACGGAAAAACAATGGACAAGAGCAACCATACCACTACCTCACGAGGGACGACATGTACGAAGAGTGAGTGTAATCGCAAATCACGTGCATGCAACCAAACAAGACGGTAAACGCTCTCGAGGTGATCCGACGTTCGAAAAACAAGATAACAAGTTCAAGACCGTACATACATGAAGCCGGCTCAAACCGCTTCGATCTGCAATATCTCCTTACTGTATACAAGTTGATCTGTACAACGGTGAAGCCATGAACCGAAAATATGAAGAATCCACGGCGTGTGGGCACGTGCAGTCCTTTTTTACCACGCGTTCGAAGGCCTCCCTCACCACGATGATGGTTCGACCAACGTACTCTCAACGACAGCAGAGTGAGATGGCAGGGTCGGTCGTGGACAACAACGTCACGACGAGACTTGCTTGGTCATCGCTTTTCTAGCATCGCCCTGGGATTCTTCCGCCATAACACCGCTATGGTACTCGTGTTCTCGCTCTTGTGAGTATTTTCCTCGGCCCCTCGCAGGAACCACGCAAGCAGTAGCTTGCGATTCTATTGGCTCCGGCGAAAAAATTGTACCCCAGCTTGCCCAGCTCACGACAACCATCCTGTTTGGATTCAAGCAGCGTGATCAGGGTAGGAAGCAAATGAGGTTTGCCTCGCGGTGGAGCATTGGGATATTGGTAGCAAAATCGTTCAGGCGTGCGTGGGAGCGAGGGGGAGGGGGGAGACGGAAATGGTCTTGCGCTAAGGTTCTGGAACAATACTTTGCACGCAGTTCTGTGAGCGCGAGGTACCGGTCGTTGGCAAACATGTGCCGCATGCAGTCAAGGATAATTACTGATGGTATCGCGGCCCCCTGCTACACCCACGTAATTCTCAGCATTGTCATCTCAAAGCGACGTGCTTCCCCTACATAGGGGCTTCAAATTGGACGATGACAGATGACAACGAAACAACAACACTACGGCAGAGCGTTTGAAATCTGGCGTACCCCAGCGCCAACAGGTAGAAGGCCAGATGGTAGTCGAGGGGGAAAGGACGGCGACGCCCGTCGATCGACCAAGCGAAAATCGACGAGAAAAATGTTGGGCCGGCGGCCTTGGCCAGCGAGCCTGTCGTCATCGACAGCCCGGTCAGCGTCCCGCGTCGAGACGGACCCACCGCATTGTTTGTTGCTAGAGCAACGTTGATGAAAACCTGATGTGGCGGATCCGGAAGTTTGCGTGCTCCGAGGTGTAAAATATGACGTGCGGATACAAGAGGTGCCCTCACAACGTGCCCGTGAGGGAGAACGGGGGGGGTGGGGAGTTGTCTGAGATCCTGACCACAGCAACAAGACGAGCAACGACCGAAGCTCTAGTGTGGTGTGCCAATGCTCGGTTGGTTTGTATACAAAGGGCAGACACCGGTGGTAGGGCCTGACTGAAGCGGCACATAAAACTATGCAATGCCAGAAGCATCGTCAACAAGGGGTTCGACGTTGATTTCGAAGTTGATGCAAACTGCAAAAATCCCCTGGATGTGGCTCAGCAGGCAACGTTCCCGGCCAACCTAAGGTTCTTCCGTGCGTGTCATCCTGCATCGAAGGCAGCCTACACAGGACGGGGATGTTGTCACCCCCTTGGTTGCTTCGATGTACTCTAAATGATGCCGCTACCTCTTTTTGCTGCAAATACGCGCGGTTGCTCACCGTGTTGGCTACTGCGTTGGTCAGGAACAACAAAACCAGGGAGGCCGCGACGAGCGTCCTCTCGGTATCACGAAGGTGGGACAGCGTCGGGAACACGATAAATACAGGGATTGAAAGGAAGCACGCCCAGCGCTGCGACCTCGTCGCCCCTATTCGTTTCGACAGCCGAGGGTACAACAACAGCTGGAAGAACAGCATGGATATTCCGCACACAGAAAGGGTCTGTGTATCAACAAGAAACAGCAGTCACGCGACGGAGAGAGGAGCAACGATCAAGATGAACGTTGGGAATTGTGGCCATGAAATGGGAGCAACGGTACCCGAGAAGTTAGTACCGTTGAATGGTCACGGGCGACATTTCGGCTGGCGAAGGTAGTTTTAGGAACGGGGCAAACGTGGCGACTTTTATCGAGAAGCGAAAGCGTGGCCAAATCAGACCCCGCGACAGTGAACGTGCTCAGCACGCCTCTCGAGACGACCCAAATGACAGGGAGAGCGTCAGAATAGCGGTAGAGTAGTCTAGTTAGATCGAACATCGAACCTGTCCAATCTGCTTCGAACTCCAATCCAGGCCCCCACTGGCCACCGTGCTGAGGGCCCACAGCGGGTAGAGCTCACGGCTTCCTATCGCGACAAACTGGGGCACCAACAGCCGAGAAAAGGAGACGGATCGCGGTAGTGCAAATTTGAGGCCCTGGATAGCGATCACATGGAGGAATGTGGCGGCACGTGTCACTCACGTACTAGTGGCCAAAACTGAACAGGCGCGCGGTGATGCTCGTCCAATCCAGGGTTTTCAACGGGAAATCGACCATCAGGTATCCAACACGGTGGCCGCTTTGACCGCGACCTCTTCGCTGAGAATAACTCCACTACCGTGCAATCTAGGGGCCAGATCTGCGCGTCTGCCACCGGAAACCGCGCTCTATACGTCTACTCTCTAGAAACGTTCCAAGCCCAATCGAAACGAGGTACCGGAGGAGTGGCAACACGAGGAATTACCGAAAAGAGGGCGTACACAAACATGACATTGCGGGTGCGTCTCTCCGTGAGCAATTGTATCGGCACGAGACACTCCCGCCAGCAGGTGCTCCTCCTGCCCCATGGACCCTCGCCGCCGCTGCCGGTATCGCCGAAGCCCTTGGCCTTTTCCAATCTTTGTAAAGCTCTAGTAGTCGTACGAAAACTTTCACGGTTGCTCTTTCGCCCGTCTCCAGCCCCAAAAGCCGCAGCCTCGTCACGGTCATCATCATCAACATAGTCATCATTTGAAGACCTCCCACTTGCGGAGAGCAGTTGGCGGCTTTGCTCGCCCAAATTTCTACCATGGTCTTCGTCGATGTCGTAGCAATAGGCGGTTCCGCTTCGGCCCTCGATGCTGCCGTCGTACCTTACAGCCCTCGAGCCCTCCGCACGACGGTCCGCCAATAGCATGTTGTCGCGACCGCTGCCATTGGTATCGCTTTCAAGGGTGTTTTGGGTCCTTGCCGTTGGGGTCATCTCGACCATCCCGCCTTCTTCGACCGTGGAGGCCTCGTGGGTTTCGACGGTTCCCGCTTCTGAAAGCGAAAGGAGCTTGAACTCACTGCTGAGTCCGACACGCGGTGGCAGTACGCGAAGTTTTATGTACGTGGGGGGACCGCGTGTGAGTACTCTCTGGCCGATCTCGCGAAAGTCCACGAAAAAAATTGGTCAGGTCGATCTGTGGAAAATTCTCGGTTGTGCGGTGGGACACTCCGCCTACAGCACATAAACGCGGTTTCGGGAGAGAGCAAGATGGACGTTCCCATGGTCCCACGCTTTTGAAGAATACCAGGTTTCTTCTCACCTGCTATCGTCTCTGTTGTGTACGTGCCTCGTTTCCTTCAGGAAGAAGAAGACGAAAGGTAAACCGGTTAAGGCGATACCCGCCCCGACGATGTTGGGCAAGAGGTAGGGAAACCTGCATAGGTAATAGACCGATCGATCGATCAGCCGTCGGGAGACAGCATCCACAATGTGAATTAATTCAGGCTCTTTGTACTTCGAGTACATCTGTTGCTTGTTTTGCCCGCGTTGATGTTGATACAGCGGTCACCAATGAACGATAATACGTTTTTATAGAGAGACACAACGGTAGCGTCGCGACGAACGACTGTGTCGCCATTGCGAAGCAGCTCTCCTGCCTGAGGAACGAGAGGCAGGCGTTTCGACGGTTCCTTACAGTCGGTCTACCAAACAACCAGCTAGGGGCAGGGAAAGCGAGTGAGATAATCTAGATTCTTGCGAAAAAAAAAGGTCGAACATGCGTAAGAGTGCATCGAGATCATCGCGCCGCAGCAAACGGCTTTTTCGTGGAACACGGCTATTTGAATTGTCTTCACCGCGCAAGCATTGCACAGACTACCCCTACCGTGGTCGCGCAATCCAATTCGCACATGTGGTACAGCAGCACAGCGCAGCACAGCAGAGCGCAGCACAGCATTGGCAGACAGTATATGTACCTCCCGAACAATCCCGACTGCGAAAACACGGTTGGGTAGTGCGTCGCCGGCTCAGCCAGCAGGCCTCCAAGGCCAGGGCCGATCACAAGCCCAATAGATGCACACCCTTTGACGTCCATCCCGAAGAATATGTCAACGGATCGCGCACGACAACAACGCACCGCGGATGTGACAGAGCGAAAAGGTGGTGGCTTATAAGTTTTCGTACTTGTACTTGCGGTGCTCGCTCTGACACGATCCGCCGTCAAATTAGAACGACGCCGTCGGTAGACGCTAAACAAATCGACCGAGCTACCCACTCAGCGATAACTGAGCAGCGCATGAGCTCCAGAGGCGGGCGAGGGACGATCACACCCGATTACATGCGGGGAAATGGTCTACCCAAGATCTGCAGGAGGGGGCGACGACCGGATAGGCTTCGAGACAAGAACTTGTCTTGTGATGACCTAGAAATATCTTCGATAGCCCTTGCCGTGCTCGCTGATGGCACCCGTGGACGCGCACACAATATTAGCACGCGTCATGTGCTGGAATGCCCCAATAATGGTGCGTTCGTCATCGGTCGCGCTGGTGGTGACGAAATGTGTTATTCAACCGGATTGAACAGGAGGGTTGCTACGATGCGTACGCGGTGATCCTTCGGGCTACACGTACCTAGGACGTACGCCATTCCCGTAGCCTCGTGCTCCTTCCCGCAGACTTCTGAGGTCATGGCCTTAGATATCCCGAGGAGACCATTCAATACGCCAAGGAGCAACCTACCACAAGACACGGCAGCAGTGTAGAAGCTATGTCGAACAGGCAGTGACGAAGGTTGATACAACGTGGTGCATACAGCGGAAGCTGCAGCAACAGCGGCAGCAGCAGCATCAGCAGCAGCATCCGAACAAGCGTTGTGGAAAATACTGGCGATGTCCGTCCATGACCGCACCGAGGCACGTTGCGCATGTGTCGTCCTTGCTCTATTTTGTCGTACAAAAAGAAGGTGTATGCGGTGAAAATACATGATCAATCCATTCCCAAGCGCGTGTATCTATGTACTGCGCTGTTGTCGGTTATCCAAGCTACACGTGCTCAAAAGGACGACCAATGAACACTATTCGGAAAAACCGTGGGAGGTTTAGGCTAGTCTGCCCTCTCACCGACAGCCTAGGGCCCATAAGAATGATGTCGAGAGCCCGAAAGCGATGGACAGCACCACCATAGAGGTCAGACCCGCGTAAATCACCGGTAGCCGCCCGTAACTGTCGGCGAAGCGCCCCCAGAAGTAAGAGCTTCCGACACGGCCGACCATGAAGGCGGACGACACATAGCCCGCGTAGTACCCTGCGGCATTGGTCGCAGGGGTCAAACACGGGTGCATGTGAAACAAACCACACGCAACGGCCTGAAGGCCACAAACTTACTCCAAAGGGTTTCAAGTCACAAAAAATGAACACCCGTGTCGCCAGAAGGTGTAGAGAAGTTTTCATCTGTTCGTCCAAGGCACCGCGGATTGGAGAACGGCATGAAACGCATGTGAGCATGTGATATGCTTCCCCCATCTTTCATTTCTACGTCGAAACCCAACAAGCTCGATTGAGCTGGAACTCGCACGAGCTATGCGTAGCCCGTCGTACGTGTTGTCTTCAACATACCTCTTCTGTGAAATAACTGCCTCGAATTGGTAGTATTTCAGTGATGCTAAGTATATTTCTAAGACGTTTACCACAAAACGCGGAAGCCTCGCCCCAACTTCGAAATATATCACGAATGCCTTGGCAGCGGAGTAACCAACCTGCCGAGATCCGACCCAAATGCTCAGTCAGGTGAAAGGAAATAACAGAACAAAAACCAAGCACCCTATTCAACGCGACCTTTTCCAAACGCAGCACAAACCTGCCTCATCCTTGTCGTCGGTGACCCCGAGGTGCTGCACCATGTACCCCACGTAGGGGAAGAGGCTGGTCAGAGCGTACGAATGACTCACGAGTCCGATCGCGATGGCAAGCATGGGCAGCCATGGGAAAGGAGTAGTCTCCATCTCCGGCTTCTCCTGGGACGGGAGGCGAGACACGAGTCCAGCGCCGCGGTGGAGCGCCATTTCGGTCGCCAAAAGAATGCACTGCCGTGCCTGTTGTGTTCCCTCTCAGCGCATATCAAAGTTCCGGGACAATCATGCCCAGTAACACAGCGACTTGCGAGACGCTCCAGGTAGATAACGCGTGGAGAAATGGAATGACCAAATGCACAGAAAGCGAGGTCGGAAGGTGCTGGGGGTAACCGACAATCGGATCCCTTTGTTATTCCACAGGACTTTTTGTCTGCTGTTATGGTTGAATGCGAGCTTGTTGGTTTACGGACAAGTCTTGCGAAAAACTCGATCAAGCTCGTGATGTTAGTTGACGACCCCCTACACTCAACCAGTTTCGTCTCGTCCTGATCCCACAACCGGTGTGAAGGACGCCGCGGACAAGCAGCATGACAGCAACAAACCTATGCCCGCTTGGCATCGGCGCCCCCCTGCCTACTTGTGGGAGAGATACTGCGATAACGGTATGGTCCCATTGATAGTGCCATCTAATATGCAGAACGGGCTCGGAGATAAGATACGTCAAAATAGGGTCGAGCCTCAATTTCTTATTTTGGGCAGAAGGAGCAGCCGAAGTCGGCCCAATCGCTTTAAACGGATTTCTTATTCCTTTGGGCTGTCGCATCCTGCTCATCTCCTGTTTCCATGTTTTCTTACTTGTGGCGAAGAAGACAACACACACCAGTACTGTACCAGCAGTGGCTAGTGGGTGTAGCGCAGCCCGCGGCGGCGCAGCGGCGCGGGGGCCACCGCGAAAATATCCCCCCGTTCCCCCCCGGTGTTTGCCATTGGGGTTGGGTGTTCGTCGCTTGGCAATGACGTTGTAAAACAAGCCGCCCGCCCCCGGTGTTTGCCATCAGGGTTGGGTTTTCGTCGCTTGGCAACGACGTTGAAAAACAAGTCAAATCACTTCGTGAACTCGGCAACCAGGTTACCGTTTTTTTTTCACCTCTGTTTCTTTTTTGGCGGTAACCATAATGGTGGTCGAGTAGATCATGTTGTGCGGGGNGAATAAATTGAGTAATACGCAGCTGTCATCCGTATGCAAGGAAGTAAGCACAAGATGCCGAACACCCTTAGCA